TKGGTTGTTACCAACATCTGGTGAAAATTTCATGTCATTGGCACCTCTAGTAATATATTTACTGAGAAAAATGGTGACGTGTTCAATACAAATTTTTCCCGCTGTACTAAACCAAACAAAAACATAGTATTCTCATAATATTTAGGGGTTAAAATTACAGTAAATTATTTCTAAAACAGCTTGGGGTTTATGAGGGGGTCCCTGGAAACATTTCACACTTGTAAGGGGTCCTCAGACCCAAAAGGCATGAGAACCCCTGCTCTACACCTCCATAGATCTGGGTGGAGGGGCCCTCTCGCAGACTTTGAGAAGAAAGATAGGTCTAACAGAACAGAGAAAAGACCAAGCATTTCTGGTAGGAGTGTACATCACTCACTGCTTTTCATATGTTAAACAGAAATGTTTGATTTTAGTCCTTTTTTTGTTTTGTTTTAGCTTAGTATTTGTATTTGCGACCACACCACCCTGAACACACCAGATCCAATCTGATCTCAGAAGCAGGGTCTGGGTCTGGAATACCAGGTGCCATAAAATCAATGTAGGAGTTGCGCCCACATTGCAACACTAGCTATAGAAAACCTTGAACCATAATAGGTCATAGGTTGCCTACTGCAAAGGATGACAAAAAATTGTATAATTGTGAGTTAAAACCATTTTTGTGTTTTACTGAAGTAGCTTAGCTGTAGCAGCCATCTTGAATCAGGTGGTCTCTAAAATTTAATCAGTTCTAGATGTACATACAGTGTAGTGCTGCGCGGTATTAGGAAAACATGCGATAATAGTGTTTAAGCTACTACGTTTTCCTAATTACTAGGCACTTTTTTATTTTTTATGTCCATACAGACATACCTGACATGTTTCGACGTGTACCTCCGTCTTCATCAGAGGTGCCACAGCTGATGTTTGGAGACGGTGTCGGCTCATCAATATATATTGACAAGCCGCCCAAACAACATCAGCTGTGACACCTCTGATGAAGACGGAAGTACACATCGAAACATGTCAGGTATGTCTGTATAGACATAAAAATTTTTAAAAAGTGTCTAGTAATTAGGAAAACGTAGTAGATTGATTTTATAGACACAATGAACTTTATTAGAATAGTGTTTAATATTGCAATGAAGATATGACTTGCAATTAATGAACAAATGTTGATGTCTTTCTGCTCTGGGTTCAGAGAAAAAAAAAGATAATTTTCATTCCAGCATGTTTTATTTTAATATGAAGAGATCAATCGAATCAGCTAAATACATGAAGGGCTCCATTTGATTGATGAAATACTTCAAGCTTCTGACTGAGTGACAAAAATACAGTAAATGCAAACTTTTGAGCAAACCGTTTATTGCAGTTTATGTAGTTTTTTGCAATACGCCTATTGCACAGGCTGTTATTATGATGATGATATATTGTGCAGCCCTAGTCAAGCAGCCGATAATAAAGTTTTGGTTTTTTGTGGGGTTTTTTCCTGAAGCCTCACGTGTGTGTTTTTTTTATTTCCCCCCTCACAGCTACGGACGGGTTTACACGGCAGACCCCTACCATGCAGCTCTTGCCCCAGCTGCCTACGGTGTCGGAGCTATGGTACGTTCATCACCCGATCTCCTCCCTGGTTTCATCCAGTCTGTTGCTAATTGATCAGCTGTCGGTTATAGATTATTATTATTATTATATAACCAAATCAATCTTTTTGCCTTTTAAACAGCCAGTTTGGGGCAAAGCCAAGTCCAGATTTTTATTGTTAGTAAAACCAGAATTTATTGCTCTTTTCTCAACCACAGTCGGCTCTGATCACTGTTCAATTAAAGCCAACAGATGTGATAAGAAAATAGTTTTTGTATGTTTTTATCATTTATTAAAAGTTGATATAAAATTGCCTCTGCAGCCTGAAAAAAGTGCAAGTAAATAATTGTTTTTTTTGTGTGTGTGTGTGTGTGTTGTCTCTTAGGCCACGCTGTACAGGGGAGGCTACAGTAGATTTGCCCCTTACTAAAGACACTACATTTCCCAGGAGCTCGCCTCTCTTTCTCTTTCTCCCATTGAATTACTCCGAAAGAGCTCCCTCTGTTGTCTCGGAGGAGGATAGCACCCCCTTTTTATATATTAAAAAAAATAAATAAAGCGAGGAGACGACCACAACAAAGATATTTCAGATCCCACCCCAGAGCAGACCCACATTATCTTATATAGGCTTCTACAGAAATAGAGGAATGCTGTATTAAAAGACTGATGGATGGCCTCTATGTTTAAAAGAAAAACGAAGAAGAAAAAAAATCAGACTGAACATGGCCACCTTCCCTAATGCACGGCTGTATTATAGTCTCCCCCTCCTATCCCCCTCGACACTCAGCAGCACAAGATTTGGGGACGGAGCTCAGATGTTCTTCCAAAGGCTGGACGTGGGAAAAAAAACCTGACATTAGGACAGCTGTCACTCGTGTGTGTGAGCCAGCTGAGCACATTCTGCGTTTGAAGAAAAACAAGAGGGAAGGTGTCAAAAAAAACACAACAACAACATCGTCTGAGCGGTGGAGAGAAGTGAAGGCGCCTCGACAGAGAGCACCGGGATGACTTTTCTTTTTTTATATATATATATAAAGCAGGTGGATGAGCAAAGAAGGCAGAAAAGCAGGATTTCAGAGTGCGTCCTGCAGCGCTGGGCTCAGATCTGAGGCTGAGCTTGGAGACATGACGGAAAGCTGGAGGAGGGAGGGTTTAATAGAGCTGATCCTTACCTCAACTTTTCTTAGTATGTGGAAACGGTAAACCTTTAAACCTAAAATTGTTATGATATGCAAAGAAATTAGTTTAGAGAAAAAAATTGTTATTATTATTATTATTATTATTACTGTTGTAATTATCCTCATTAATATTATGGAAAAAAAACATTATTTTGTTTGCTACAGCAGTCGCTGCTGTGGTGAAGTTTTATTGGTGAACCTTTAGGGTTAAAATCATAGATTTTACATCTATAGTTCAAACAGTCCAGATATGAAACACAACAATATCGCACATCTTCCTGGTCTCACACACAAACACACACATATGATTTCACTACAATGTATGTGTGCAGCATCACCTAACACTACGGGTGCAACACTACACTGCAAACATTTCTAGTTGTTTACATGTAAAATAAAAAAATAACCTCCCCTACAAGCCCGGAGGGTCGGGGGGGGGGGCTTCGGTGATCCTTTACCGTAGGGAGACGTGGTTTGGATTTTTCCCCTCATGCTTCATGTTTTTATCGAGTCCAGCGATGGATGAGTCTTCCTGAAACACACTTTAGACGATGCAGCCGACGGCGTTTTACTGAGCAGGATGGAGATTCAGTCAGCGACTTTTTAGTGACGACTTAAATGCAAAACACATCACTATTGTGCATATTTCTATATTTCTTGTACCCTCGATTTCTAAGACGTGGCTTTAATTTTGGCCTTTTGTTTGTGTTCCAAAGATTTGTAGAAAGCACATTTTTCTGCCGTTAAAAAAAGTATAAATATATATATAAATATATATTACTTGTGTTATTATCACAATCCTATAGCTGTCCTTATTTAGTTTTTACATTGTCTGCTTTGTTTTTGAATATATATATATGTGTGTATGTGTGTGTTCTTCAGTGAGATGCAGATTTCTTTTTTTTTTCTTAAGTTTTGCATAAACGTTTCTGAACTGAGACCATACCTGAGTAGTAAAAAGAATGCAGGTAATATCACCAAAATTATTTTCTTTCTCAGTAATCTTTAGTTTGTTCAGTACGTTTGTTTTGTTGTTGTTTTTTTTATAATATGAATATTATTTTTATTGCTGTTGTTTTATTGTTGTTGTTGATTGGTCATAGGTTCTGCCAGCATGACGTTGTTCACAATTTACAGAAAACAGCTGGATCTATTTTACTTTGCCGTGTGTGCGTGCGCGCGTGCGTATGTGTGTGTGTGTGTGTTTTCATTTTGCTGATGAAAACCGGTGGAATGAATGAGAATCAGTTTGTCGCACTTTGGTTCAAATCAACTGTGTTCCTTTTGTTTTTTTATTTTTTCGTGGTCTTTATTAGTTTTTTGTTTATTTTTAAAGCAGCTGACGTACATTTCAGTGGATAAAATCTCTCAGCCTGATCAGTGTGCTCGCTCCGGGTTTGTTTGAAGCTAACGCAGTAAAATGTCTGAAAGTGTTAAACACATGCAGGATCACATTCATGTCTGATAAAAGAAAAAAAATGGAACATTTTAAACCATTTTCTTTCTATTTTTCCACTTCCCCACCCTTAGATAAGCATAGGACTGTCACCATTTTTTTTTTGTTTTATATCATGTAACTTTATTTTATTTTATGTTAATAATGTTTTAACATGAATAAAGAATGTGCTCTGGATTAAATAAAAAAAGCAAAACAAAGACAGAAAAGGCACCAGCCAAAGATGTGAGGTTTCCAGCATGTTCTGGTTCCCAACTTGAAAAGTGCTAGAAAACAAAATAATAATAATAATAAAAAAAGAAGTAAATACATAAAGGACTTATGGAGCCACTGGAGGCATGGACAAACCAGCATGAGTGATAATTACCAAGTTTAAAAAAACAGAAAAAAAAGAGTTATGCATGAATCTTTTATCTTTTCCCATTTGACTGCTGAGCAGCTGGACTCAGCTGCTCATGTTTTACCACTAGAAGATGGGCGGCTCGCAGTTTGACACAACACAAGAGCACAGAGCTGGTTGGCAAAAAAACAAGAAAAAAAAAGGCCTAACAACAAAACAAAATGGCCTCTGTAAAAAGAAAGATAAACCATTTGGCAGCTTGATTTTCCTGGTTGTGGCTTTCTTGGCCCTGTATTATATATTAACTCCGTGGTCATTCTTCATAGATTCTATGGTTTCAACGATCAGTCCCTCCGTCCTGTCTGAATCCCTCTGACTGCCGTTATGTTTGGTTTTTTGTTTTGTTATTGAATGTCGATATAAAAATGTTTTATATAAAATGTTTTGTTGTGGTTGAGCTTCCTGGTTGTTTTCTTTGTAAATCCTGTATTTCAGCTGGAAGGGATAGCAGATCTCTTTTAAGGTGGGAACAGTTAATATCTTACCTGCTGTAGATGGCCCCTTAACAGCCTCAGTTTGGAGAAATATTAGTTTTGACTGCGTGCTGACAGCCGAGACCAAAGTGGATTATTATGTGCTAAAGCTAACAGCTGCTGACCCTATTTGCACTTTTACATAAATAATGCGTCACCGAGCGTGTTTCGAGCATCAGGGATGTCAGGTTTACACGCAAAGTCTATGGTGGACCCACTTCAGGAAGGACATGTCTCGCACGTTCAACGCTGGCGTGGCAAAAACCTGAACTTCTGCTGCTCGACGTGGAACGTCAACCATTCAGAGAGTCTCAGAGTGAGACGAAGTGACACGTTTTCCTACGAGACGGTTTCCTGAATGATGACCATTAACCTGAGACAGGTGGACAGGAGCTCTCAGCTGAAATCGAGTGCCTGTTAGTCGGTGTCCTGGCAGGAGATGCGGGTCAGAGGCTCGTCAAACTGGGCTCAGGACAAAAATAGTTCTGAAAAGCGAGCCTTGTCAACGCGCAGCTCCTGGAGTGGTGAAACTCAGAGCTGCTCTGAATTATCCGGTGAGCGTAACGTGCGTCTGACCTCAAAGTGTACGATCATCGAACTTGAAGCGTTGGACACGTTTTTGATGCCCAAATCGCATTTGGTGTGAATCGTTAGTTTTGAAATACATTTTTAATGTAAAACATTTAAGGCAGGAGATGCTTTGGTGCACGGTGGATCTTGACTTCCCTCTGACTAGCAGTTAGCTCATCAGTTCAGTCACAACCCTCCTGCTGCCCTGGAGTCAAAATGACCCCTGAGGCCTCAGATTTCATCAAAAATGTTTCCTCAGAGAAAAAAGAAGGCTTTCTAAGCTATGGGCCATTTTATTTATTTATTTTTATTGTTTTTCAGGCTTGTTTTATTAAAATCCATCCACTGATTCTTGAGATTTATTTATTTTTTTGCTTAAAAAATATTAAACCACAGTTTTTTTGTACATAGTTTATTGGAAATTCATGTAATAAATCAAATATTTTGTCCTCAGAACCAATATGATGAAAAGTCACTCAACACAATAATCCATTACAACGTTAACTACTTTAATGTGCAAATATTTCTTTAAATTTACTGTCTTCTGCATCGATCATAAAAGTCATTGACGTCCTTTAGTGTGTCCCTATATATATATATATATATATTTCTTGTGGAACTTTTTCCCCTCCCTTAACTTATCAGAAACAGTGGTGTTTGTTCTTGTATTGACATTTACATAAATTATTTATAAAAAAATAAACACGTCAATTAAAGCTGCACAAGAGGAAAAAGAGGGAAGGTGACTGAGACAGCAAGACAGAGGAGAGGAAGGAAAAAGTCAAACCTATAATAAAATAATTCAAATATACATTGTTTACAGTTTATGATGTTTGACACAGAACAGCTCAGGAAAATGATACAATAATAAATGTGAGGAGGAGAAAGGAGTGGAGAGAAAATGTGTTGAGTCTGGTCTCTAGAGCTGTGGTTTCCAAAGTTGGGGTCAGGGCCCACAGTGGGGTCCTAAAACATCAAGGTGGGGTCTGGGAAATGAAAAATGACTACTAACAACCATTGGGGGCACAGATCTCTGCTGCTGTTATTGTGTGGGTCAAAAGCTGAAAAGTTTGGGAAGCACTTCTCTAGATGATGGGCTGCGGTAGCTTGGTGGTCAGTGCAGCTGCAGGTTTGAGCCCAGGTTGTCTCAGGAATGTCTTTGGTGTAAAATGAAATTCTAGATGATTCCATATTTGGCCAGGTCGCTCAGCTCCATGTCCCCAAACGCTTCCCATGGACAGATCACTGTGATGTCTGTGCCAAGACCCTCCATCCCGGGTATGTCGTCTCCAAACCTGAAACCAAATCAAGCATATGTCCCTCAACGGCCTGGATGTTTCTTTGTTTTTTTCACTGGTTTTTCCCAGCATAAATCAAAACATTCAATAACATTTGAAAACCTTTCCTTCAAGAAATGCCAGATTCATATAAGCCAGTCTTACCCCTTCTGGCCCGGTTTTGGAGCCTTGCTCTTAAATGTGCGCGTGGCCCTCTGCTTGAACTTGGGTGGCGCCTTCTTCTCAGCAGGTGTTGCGACGGCTGTGTCTGCCATAGTTTAAGGTCTGGATGAAAACAGAACCAAGAGCATGTTATTAAACGCTCCCCTCACCCCCCACTTCTCTTCCTCTAAGCCCTTAATTGCCTCTAGCTTCCTTGATATAACTCTACCAGACTGGGTCAGACTATAAGTAGAAGGGTTTTTAAGCACCTGTAAGACCCTGTTGCACAAAGAGCTTTGTCTATTTTTACAACCTACTGCTTTTAGGATTATTCAGGTTTGTACACAACTACAAACCAGAATGTTACATAATATCACAGACTAAGATAAATACACCTACCACTATATACTGGATGTCAATAAAAACTAAGTATAAAAAAGATTTTGTCCTTGGCAATTAATTTAAATGATTTTTCTCTGCCAAACAGTTGCTTTAATTGAACTAATATGTATGTATGTGTATGTATGTATGTATATGTATGTATGTATGTATGTATGTATGTATGTATGTATGTATGTA